CCCCAAAACCCCAAAACCCCAAAACCCCTTCACCATTCAAACTTGTTGAAATCTATCTGATGGACAACTTTCATGCCAGATTTGTCATAAAAATGGTACTCTAAATTTTCTAATAGTTCAAAATTATTATGTTAACCCTAATTTATGAAAAATGAGCATATTGGTAAATGAAGCTATTTTGACTTGAAATAGCCTTGGAAGGTTCACAAGCATGGTGGTAGAGGAGACAAGAAGTTATTTAGCTTGTCTGTTCATGGCCTTCACAAGCTTTGGGAACCTGTCTATGGGTTATAAATCCTTTTTCTTAGTTCCATGGCTCCAATCGGGATTTGCTTTATCAATGATGTAATCTAAATAGGTTAAAAAGATATCAAGAGGCTTTGTGGGGAGTTTCCCAGGTTTCAGTTCTGTTGAACCTCCCTTTTCTAACTATGAAGCTCCTCTTAGACAATACTCTAAGACTATTTGCGTCTATTTTCGCATATAATTGCAGAATAGTAAACAACACCACAAAGTAAATCTTTACCTTAGCTTGATGATATGGCGATCCTGTCAGATCGGAAGGAATTGGCCGCTGAAATTTATGATGCTGTAGGATCTCCGGAGACGAAACTATATGCGGCTTATGAAGTTTTGAAAGAGATCCTCCCTTTTCTTCTTCTAGAAATTTGATACTCTTATTTCTTCAGTGAGAATTTTGGTGAGTAATATGATTTGTCAGTCTCTTTCTTTAGATTTAGAGCTTTCAAAGATGCCGAAAGATCGTGTACGAAGGACTGAGCGATCTATAATTCCAGTAAATTGGTCTCAAGCATACTTACTTTATTATCAATATTCTTAGCAAGAAGGTCTAAGTCTGGCATTTCGATAGGCAGCTTGAGCTGATTAAGTATCTTGTTGATTTGTGCCCAGTTATTTAAGCTTATTATGATACTTTTGGGTATTTTCAAAGTCTCTCAACTAGATTCAGGTTAGGGTCTTTGTTTTTCAAATGGTGGTGGGCATTGCTACTTACGCTAATCTGATCAGGGTAGTACTGATTCAAAATTTCAGCTGCTAAATAACCGTTATTATACTTCTGTTCTATTTAGTTATTCGATAACCACATACCTTTCTTGGGGGTTACGAGCATCTCTTTCTCAAATTTGGGGCTTGAGCGGTAAGGGCTTTGTTCCATATTTTCTCCAAAATTTTATTACTAGTTTCACTTTTTATTAAATTTTAGGGGTTTTGGGGTTTTGGGGTTTTGGGGTTTTGGGGTTTTGGGG